ATTGGAGGGATCACTTCTGAGGTTTATCTTACAAGGGTACAAGTGAATCTTTCTAAGAGGAGAATGTGAACGTTTTAAAAAAATGACATGAAGGCTATGTTAACCAGTTTGATGGAAGTGTTTCGGATTGTGTGTGAAAACCCCACACTGTACCCCAGAAGTGCACTAATGTACATAGTTACCATTCAATTAAAAAAAAAAAAAAAACTGCTCCAAGGGAACAGAAGTCCACTGACAAAGGAAGTACTACCAGCTGTTCCCAAGAACATTATTCTATTAACCCTTTGACCATATCCTTCTACATCCTATTCTGCTACCTGCCTTCACAGAAACCAAACAATTCTGCCCAACCCTATTTATTTAAAAAGAAAAAAAAAAATCCCTCAGTGGGAAAAAGCTGCCATCACCCCTGTGGTAACCTCTACTTCCTCATTTCCATATCATATTCCTTGTGAGTCCCCTAACTGCCTGCCACAGCTGGCCAACTAGCCCAGGCACACAGCTATCAGGAATATTTGGGACAGGAAGAAACCACCAAAGGTGATCTAGTCCATTCCCCAGTCTCCAGCAAAAGTTTTCCAACCCAATCCTAATCTTCTTTACTATTAAAACTCTCCTTGCAGATGGAAACCACTTAACGGGTACAAGGTTCTCTATTCAGATGATGGACTACACTAAAAGCCCAGACTTCACCATGACACAATATATCCTAGTAACAAAACTACACTTCTACCTCTTAAATCTATAAAATTTGTTTAAAAGGAAAAATAAAGGCAAACAAAACCTCTCATTGTAAATGGCACCCCACAACATTCCTTAACAACTGAAGAAAGCATTTGTGTTTTTTAAGAGCAAAGAGGCTTTCATTTAATCAGTGGTCAACACCATTGTGCCCTTTTCACCCAAAGCCTTTCTGATAGCAAAGGGTACCTAAGAGTAAACTCACCTGTGAGTATAATGGTAAAATCCCAGCCACAGGCCACCTGTTGGATGGCACAGCCAAGAAGGGATTTGCAGGGGGTAAAATACAAGACGTCATCTGTGTGACCAAGCCCCAGTTGCCCATCTTTGTTCAGGCCGCAGACAAAAAGGCCTCCTCCATCTGCAAAATACAAAAGCTTTTGGTGATAAACAAAACTGCTAACGTGAACAAAAAGATTTCATTAACTACTTGAGGTCACAGACCAACAACTTTTTTTCTCACCCAAATTAATAAGCCAAATTCTATGCTAATGTGTTCTGGAGCCAGACAACATAGAGCCAAGAGCCTCAAATCTAATGCCTAAGTGGAAACTCCAAATCCTGGAGCAGCGGCCAATCACCAACTTGAACATCTACTGAACAATAAAAGCTAACATTTATTCAACATTTAGGAGGTATCAGGTACTGTGTCCTAAGAGCTTTACATTTGGGGCTGACTTATTCTTTAGGCACGGTGTTTAGGCTCACAATACTTTTACAGGCCCATTGAGAGTGGCTTAATTTTAAATTCTCTTAAAATGAGAAAAAATAATGTAGTCACAATGCATGAGTAATACTAAATCCAGCCTGGCTTGGATTCATCATTATACCAATATAGTTGTAAAATATAATTTTTAATATTTCTTTATGAACAAAGGGGTCCATAAAGGCAAAAGCACCAAGGTCCTATGAAAGTCATAATGTACCCCTCTTAACTTATCTTCCATATTATCCCCATGTATCAGGAGAGGAAGTTACGGTGCACAGGGATTATCTATCCAAGGCCACATAGCTAGTAAGTCACAGAGCCAGGATCTAAACCCAAGCATTTTGATGCAGATGCAATATGCCCTCCTTTGCAATATTATAGCACTTGTAGTACTTGTTAAATACTATCCTAGGGTGGCGCCTGTGGCTCAAAGGAGTAGGGTGCCGGCCCCATATACTGGAGGTGGCAGGTTCAAACCTGGCCCTGGCCAAAAAACAAACAAACAAACAAAAAAAAAAACTGCAAATACTATCCTAAGTACTATGAGGGAAAAATAGAAAAATATAAGATTCTTCCCTTCAAGGAATATTCAATCTAATCACAAAGACTTCTAACTCATATGTGAAAGTTAGATAGCAATATATGGTATAAAATATATGTTGTAACTCTGCCAACAATTTGCCTTGTGACCTTAAGTAAACAGTGGAGGGGGAGTTGGGGGTGGCTTAAAAGATCACTGAAGTCCTAGCTCTGACAATAGAGAATTCTCTGATTTGGCTCTTTCAAAAAGATGTTTTCCCCTGCAAAATACAAAGGGCTAAAAGATGGTAAAAATAAATCCCAGGGGGGAAATGTCTAAATAAGAAAAAGTGTGGCTAACTACTTTTGAAAGAAGTTACCTGTCACAATTGCAGAATGGCCCCCTCCTCCCGTGATCCTCCTGACACACCTAGGTTTGCAGAAGTCATTCAGTTGCTGGGGCAAAAGCACATCTTCCTTATGGCCAAGGCCAAGTTGCCCATAGCTGTTTGCACCCTAGGGACAAAATAAGCCAAGGACCAAGAATGAAAAAGTGAAGGAACCACGGTTGTCAAGATCTATTTACCTGTCCCTATCATCCTCACTCTGACACCCCTGTCAGAGCCTGTAACAGATTTTGTAGGCTCATTCTTAAGAAGTTGTTACATGCAATCTCTATTTAGATAGTGGCCCCATCTTCATAACACCATGAATGACATGTAAGAGGAGCCCTTAGCATCCACAGCTTATCCAAGGAAATATATTCCTCATCTTTCTCTTCTAATGCTCCAGCCCCTACATATTGCCTTTGGGAGTCAGCACAGGGATTCCTTCCAACAAAAACTAATTATCTAGAGAGGGTAAGAAAAGAAAAAATGAGGGTGAAATGGTAACAAAGTGGATAGGAAACACCCCAGAACTAGTTCTTATCCTTTTCCCCACACCCTTGCTGAGAAAACCAACAATGACTTAAAAGTTAGCTATGGATTTCGTGCCCTAAAGCATCATTATTGCATTTGTACAGCGAAAGAGGTTGGCAATGATCTCTAAAGGCCTTTCCAAGTACAATGTTTAATGATTCCAAGATTCATACGGTAAGATTCCTGTAAAGGAAGAGATTTCCCCTTGGTAGCAACATGTCTATAAATGTCATTACACAATAAAGGTCCATAATCTCTAATCTGAAACCCTTCCAGCCAGAGGTACTTCAGATTCAGAATTTTATAGATTTCAGAAAATACAGTGTGTATGTGTGTGCGCTGTATATGTACTATATACATATATAGATGCCTTTATACACACATATATAAATCTCACATATGCGGATGTAAAACAGTAATATTGCTGCAGTAAAAAGTACAAATACAAGAAGTGGGGAAAGACTATAAATAGCCTTACATGCAGTAAATTTGGGATTTTCAGAGCTTTGGAGATAAGAGATTCTCTATCCCTGTATAGAGAATCTTATTAAGGTTTCAGAAAACCTTGTAATTTCTTCAACTATCTATTTCTAGCTGGTTCTTCCTGGAGATAAGAAGTAAATTCTTGGAAATATGTTTGGTTTTGAAGACATATAAGTGAGGAAGTGGTATAATTACGAACAATACACACATACGTACACACAAAATCTTTGTCCTGATAGTCCATTTCACAGCCATTCTGGGCTGCAAGAACTCCACGAGAGCAAGGCAGGGCACAGGTCACAGAGGCCCTCAGGGGCAATATTAGCTACCAATCACTGAGTGTTTCTCTCTGTACTGGGCATTCACAACCACCAGGGAGAAGCGTGTTATTATCACTCCCATTTTACAGATGAAGAAACTAAGGCTCAGAGAGGTTAGCTAACTTTGCACAGTTATAAAGCTGAGTAGGAAACAAGATGGATGTCCCATTCCTTGCACTATACCTTATAGATCTCTAAGGAAAAAAAATACAGTTAACCAGAGTTTACCTTGCAGAGACCTACTGTATAACCCTATCTAAAATAGCACCCTCCATCACTTCATCCCTTTTCTGCTTTATTTTTCTTCATATCACTCCTTGACATCATATTATATATATATATATATATATTTTTTTTTTTTTTTTTTGAGACAGAGCCTCAAGCTGT